ACAACGCAGTAGCTGATCTACTATCAAGATCTGTTCGATCAGAAAATCCCGAAGACATGCTTAATATCATTGAAGAAGATATCAAGGACAAATGGTTTAGAAAAATGGAAGACGAAGTTAAAAACTACCCAAATAAATATCCAAATTGACGAATCTCAAACGGCAAACTTTACAAATACGTTAAATCCTCGTTTAAATTGGAAAACGACCACGAAAATTGGAAGCAAGTCATACCAAAGGAAAGAAGAAGCGATATAATAAGGAAATATCACGACGAGCCCACCGCTGGACACCCAGGGATTAATAAAACAATCCATCGTATCTCCCAGAATTTTACCTGGCCCAAAATGCGTAACGACATCATAAAGTACGTAAGAAGATGTGAAGAATGTTTAAAGCATAAACCCTTACAGAAAAAACCTGCGGGATTATTCCTCACGCAAAGACCATGGGAAGTTATTAGCACGGATTTAATTGGACCTTACCCACGATCATCATCAGGATTTAATTATGTATTGGTTGTAATGGATCTATTTACCAAATTTCCACTAACGTTTCCAATGAGAAAAGCGACGGCATCGGAAGTAACAAAAAGGATAGAAGAGAATGTAATACTATTATTTGGAGCACCAAAAACGCTAATTTGTGACAATGGAGTACAGTATAAAAGTAAGATATTTAAAAATATGTGTGAAGAATACAAAATCTGCCTTAAATTTAATGCACACTATCACGCCCAAAGTAACCCAACAGAAAGATTGAATAAAACCCTAAAAACCATGATTGCAATGTACATTAAGGAAGATCAGAGGAAATGGCCGGATAAGTTACCAAAAATATCATGTGCACTGCGCACTTCTCGACACGAAAGCACTGGATTTACACCGTATTACCTAAACTTTGCCAGGGAAATTATCTTATCAGGAGATGCTCATGATGACTTAAAGGAGTTAAATTCTGAACAGCATAACCCCCTGAAAATTAATAAAAACTTGGAAAACATCTACAAAATTGTCAAGGCCAAATTAACTCAATCTAGTAATAAAAATAGGGAAATCTATAACTTGCGGAGACGACCAGATAAGTTTGAAATTGGCGATTGGGTATTACGTAAAAACTTTACACTTTCTAAGGCAGCTGATTTTTATTGTAGTAAACTCGCTCCATTATATGTTGGCCCATTTAAAATTGCAAAAATATTGTCACCGTGGACTTATGAACTAGTTGATAATAATAATGTGTTAAAGGTGTGTTTCACGCTAAAGATTTGAAAGATTATCATAAAGACATAGGATGAAAATTTCTGCGAAATTTTCTAGGGGGAAAGGGGGGAACTGTAACGTGTTAATTTCCATTTTGGTTAATAAAGCTCAAATAATGATCAGGAACATTTATTTAAAGTAAGTAGCCATATACATTTTATTGTTGCTGTATAAATAATTTTGGGGGACGCACTGTATACAGACATCAAAATCTGAAACTTAAAATAAAGATTAATAATTGTTTTGTTGAATTGTAAATAATTAAATAATGTATTTGTACCTACCTTGTTTGTGTTCGTTTGGTAGTCTCTCGTTGTATCCTGGTGGCACTTCTCATATCGTTTGGGCACAATTTATGTTGGCTTTGTTATTGTCAGTTGGCAACCTTGCTAGGAAATCGAATCCATCTTAGCGTTTTTATAAATAGGGCAATATGTAAAGTGGGTTTTGCGCACCCCTACTTAGTCCTGGTCTTCAAATCAAGCGCTTGTGGTTGGCTGGTTTTTAACTCCAGTCAGTATGCAGATTTAAGGTGTGTAGAAAAGTTGAATTCCTGCTCGTCCTGCTTAAGCAAAGTGCTGCCCTGTTTGCGGATTGAAATTAGCCGCTCAGTTATAAACTGGAGTATTACAGGCACCATTGCACTATTAAATTGTGTAGTGTATTGTTTAGTTAGTTATTGTTGAAACACACACACATATCGGATTGTTCCGGATTAAAGCTTACGGGACGCTACCGCTTTCTGGAAATATCCTAAGCATCACCAAGAGCCGACCCACCATCTTTTGGGCCCTGCTTTCCTGCAGACACACTGATCAGATCCAACTAATATTTTGTAACATCGCCCAAATCGTAAGTGATTTATCTTTAAATAATGCGCCACTAATGGCCGCCATTACTCTTTAAGGGCTCTACCCTACCTCGACTTCAACACCTCAAGTAGAGATCTAGATTTCTGCCCTAGACCCATATCTAGGCGTCCTATCCCTAGCCGCCATCGTCAGCCATTACCCGAAGATGCTTCTGGATCTGTCACCAGCCTTGTAGCGCGTTCAGATCATCGGCCTGACATTCCCGGCGTCGCGACGTCTTCATTAAGTCCCGAGAAACCCAGAACTGCCACCTATCTGTTAAGTTCCATGTCTTGTGTCGTCCAATATTAGTATATAAATATAACGTACGTTGTCTTGAACCGTTTGTAGTATATATATTATAATCATTATTTCAACTATTGTTCGCCTTACGTGATCACGCATAGGTTAATATCCTTAGACATTAAATATTTATTTACCATTTGTAAAATATTACACTATACAGAGATACTATTTTGTTAATATATATACATTATTTACTAAATCTAGTTTCGTGGTTTTATTCTAGTAGTTACATAATTAGCATAGGCTTGGTACGGCAAAATCACGTGGCGCCTAAAATAACATACTTTCATACCCACCCCGTCTTCGACTGAGTGAGGGGCACCGTACCCGGTCTTCGATAGCATTCTGTAAAATCGCCGCGTGTAAAAGTAACGTAATCACCCACGGTGGTTTTAAACGTTACAGTTTATAGGATGCTAAACTAAATAGCAATTTTCCCCACTTCTTGTTTTTTCATACAGCGCTTCAAAGTCGTGAAAAATGACCACTTTTCAGCAAAATATTCAAAAAGGCGTCATTTTTACCGACTTTGAAGCGCTGTTAATTTCGTTTGATTTGTACAAAATTTTCAGGGTGTACTAAAAAAATACGCTCTTTAACAGCATATTTTTTATTTATTTAAAAAAATTCCCTAAAAGTTATATTTCGAACATTTTTTCATTATTAAATAAAAAGGCTTTAAACATATTTTCTCGAAAAACCCTCTAACACGTAAATTGAGATATAAGTTGAAGTATTTTTATAAAAAATTTCATAAAGATTGGTAAAGGCGTTTTAGAGTTAATTTTTTTATATTTATTATGCGATAATTTTGTCGGGCAGTATACGTCATTATTTAGATTTTTTAGAATTTTTGGTGTATTTAAATCAAATAATTTTAAAAAAAACTAGATGTCTTTATAATTCATGAAAAAAATATTCAGTCAGTTTCACTTGTTTTGATTCCCATTTAAGTTTTACACAAAATTACCTAACTTCAACAATAATTCTTATAATAATTATAATTATTGATATATTTGTATATTTTTTATTAACATATGGAAATATATTTTTAAAGGCTTAACTTTTAAACAAAAACGAATCGCATCCATGTCATTTAAGAAAAAATGTTTATAATTAACCCAGCTATCATCTGACAAAGTTTGCCATAGAGCTTGTAGAGCACCCTGTATAAGATATTGAAACCTTTTCAAAATTATGATGTATAAACAAAATAAATGAAATGTTTATACCTATAGGTACCTAAATTCAACAATACTTTTAAATTATTATAATATAAATAATTATAATTTAACGATAATTATTACTATAATAATTATAATTCAACAATATTATTAAATATTTAAGTATACCTACGTCATTATTTAAGAATATTGTTAAGTTTAAGTATCGTCTAGGTATTTTAAATCAAATTTGCCTATAATTATAAATTTAGACAATATTTTTAAATAATAACTTATAATTAATTTAATAATAATTATTATTATAATAATTTTTATTATAATAATTATAATTCAACAATATTATTAAATATTTAAGTATACCTACGTCATTATTTAAAAATATAGGTTAAGTTTAGGTATAGTCTAGGTATTTTAAATCAAATTTGCCTATAATTATAAATTTAGACATTGGCAACACCGCAGGGCTTCTGATACACAGCGAAGTGTGTCTCTTGTTGTTTATGCACCAACGAACAGTTAACCGCCCCGTCCCGCATTACCGGGCTTCGACTAGCCAGTGTAATGCACCGGGCTTCGTATTGATAGCCGTGCATGTATATATATATATATATATATATATATATATATATATATATATATATATATATATATATATATATATAGATATATACAGCGCCCCAAGTGAACTCCGCAATGTAAAAATCGCGGTAAAGGTGGCATCCAGGGCAAATTGACATCCGTATATCGGATGCCACTTTGCCATTCGTCCAAAAATTCTGTCAGTCACCTCATCTGATCCCTCTCTATTGAGCCAATCGATTTTTAGAAGGACGTTAAAGTGACGATATTTGGTGCATTTCTATATAATATAGTTCCTGAGTATATTCTGTAGGTGGTGCTGCCGGAAGATTTAATTATACATTTTTTATTCATACAACGACTAAGTTGGCTTCCAGTGGAACTGGCAACTGTGTATTGCTAAGAATATACATTTTTGTACTTTTTAGCGACTACAATGGCCTCCGTTTAAAAAATAAACAATTTCATATCTTACAACAACTAAAGTGTCGAATTTAATGGACAGGCAGCCTATTAACTCAATACTGTTAAGCTACCTAGAGCGGTAAATTTTTAGGGGCGGCAAATTTTGACCGTTTAAACTATAGATATAACGCAACTTAGGTGATTAAAAAATGATGTTTTATTATAATATATGTGGTTATGGAAACATATCTTCTTTCAATCTAAAACCATTGCTTAACACTTTGGGATTTGTGATTATCTTATCAGATTTTTTGAAGAATGCGCTGTTTGACTCTAAACCATCGAATAATTAGGTATGTAACAAAATGAAGGATTTTTTTATATTAAAACAATTGTTATAAGACTAAAAATATTTATAATTTTTTGAACTTATTACATACATAAACTTTAACAACTGGCCAAGTTTTGTGCTGGAAAACGCTGGGATGGTTTTCAATTAAATTTAGCACTTCATGTTTTTTTGGAGCCTTACGTTTCATTATGTGATCCTTAAAAAAATCTTCTGTCAATTTTCTTTGTTCTTCAGTCCAACGTACCAATGTTCTTTTAGAACCTTTTTTTATATTTTTTGTAGCAGAAATATTGCTTGCATTCACATCCACGGCGTTCTCAGTTTCTCGAGGTTGATCTTCAAATGTTTCAATATATTCTTCCTGATCCTCATCCTCATTTTCTTCAATTATTTCGCTGTCAATCTCTATTTCTTCCAGTCTTTTGCCCTTGTATCTTTCAAAATCTCCTGTTTTTGAAAGCAAAAGTATTTTGCTGACTTTTGCGGTCTGGTATACATCGTCTGGTAAGCGATAAAACTCGGAGTGGGTTTTCTCAGTGTGACCCATAAATGTCGCCAATTGTTCTAATTCATTTTTTTCCATTTTAAAGATTTGTGTTATGGTTGCCAAATGCTTGCGCAGTTTGGTTGATGTTAAAAGGGAAGCTTTTTCTTTATTGCCTAATGCAGCTAGAGCATGTTTCCGTATAACACCATAGCCGTGAATAGGATTTGATCTGCCAGGCACCCCAAAAAGATATGGATTTTCGGAAAGATTAAAATGTTTTCGTACATCTACCAAAAAGTTTATGTACTTAACGGTTTCTTTATCAAAAAGGACTGGTACGCCTCTCCCCCGCTTTCCCCGAATGACAACTCTTTTTAATGACCTATACAAAATTTTTTCAGAGTTTGTCAATGCTTTTTCGAACTCCATGAATGGAATGCTGTCATAATTTTGCAAAAATGTCGACAAATATATTCTTTGCATCTCACCTGCACGTCTTTTATTAAATATTACAATGCTGCAGAATACTCCATCCATTAGATCACGATACGCTTTGGAGTTATCTGGCTGGTTTGTTAAAATAACTTGAGCTTCTCTCATCAAATTTTTCAGGTATTCGTCAAATGTCTGCAAATAAAAACACAATATTAGTATATTTTTAAAGGGTTACATTTCGAAAACAAGCAAAATAAGAAGAAAAATGTTTCTAATGCCAAACCTAACCTAAACGGAATTTTTAAGAAAATCTTATATATCTATAATTTGGTGCTCATGATTTTGAGCGATAAGATATAAAAATATTATTTTAAAAGAATTTTGAAAACCTACCTTAATGTCTTTCGCCACTGGTATAACAGAAGGTTTATTAAATCTGTTTATTGCCAGATTTTGTCCTGCACGACTCGAAACCTCATGTGCCCAGTCACTTTCAATCAAAGTGGTTAACATATTAAAGTTTTCCAGTCGGTCTTTGCAAGACGCCGTTTTCTGAGCTTCATAGGAATATGCGGTGTGAATTGCCTGTTTAATTAAAGTGCCCATTTGGAGAGCAAGTGACGGTGATTTAAAGGTGTGCTGTAATTTATTATATTCGGCTATATTTAACGTAGCCTTCACTAGACTTTGAAATTTTTGAGGCTTTAAAAAGTCAATTATAGTTAACTTGGGATTTCTCTCCAGTTCTCTCAGATTTAAAAGAAGACGTGCTAATCGACGCATATGTCTCTTTGCAACCAAGACCAAGTGTTTTTCCCTGTGAGATTTTAGGTACCTTCGCGCAACTTCACAAATTATTGGATCCTTTTTAGCTATAAGGGAAATTTCATCAGCTTTTAGCGCACTTAAGAGTCCACTCTGTTTTAGAGGATCATGAGGACCAAATGGACCCGCCATAAATGTTTGCCCTTCAATCTGAGCATTAAAGCGTAATGATGGGTCAGGGTTAAAAAAGCAATTTTTTGTATGCTTCCTCAAAGACGTTTTGCTGTAATATCCTCTACAAAACGTACATACAATGTAATCATTTACAGGGTGTTGAAGTTTCATTACGGGAACAATTTCTGAACTTGAAAAGTCTCCTTCTCTTCGGATTTTGTCCAATAATTTTTTCCTTTTGGATGATTTTTTATCCAATGACATGAACTGTTGCACCTGGAGCTCATCTGCATGGTTGCGTTCTAGATGTCTAGCAAAATTAGTGACACTTAACTCACAAAAGGAACAAACATGCTTTCTCCGTATACGACTTGCCTTTACCGTAGTAATATTATTTTCTATTGGCGGAGTTGTAGAGTCGCTGTTTTTTGATGAAGGGTTTGTTGCCCATTGATCAAGAATTTTATTTTTGGATTGTGTTGAGCAGGTAGGTTTTTCTATAAGCTTACTCGTTGATGGCACAGGTTGCTCGTAGATTGCCCCTATATCTTGATAATCAACTTCCCATGGAAAAGGACTTTGAACATTCTTTAGTAATTCTACATGTTTCATTCCGCTGCTGCTATCTGAACCGAAATCCAGAGATTCTGACAACGAAGGGTACTCCGAAATATTTGATTCACATGAATGTGAAGAACACGAGTCATCTGCAAAGAAAATATTTTTTATTATTATTTATTTATTTACTTTAAAATTTAAAAAAACAAGCATTCTTAATTTAATATTATTACAATGCGAATTTTACGCCCTAGACAAATTGGCATTACAAATTTGCATAATAAACCATTTTAAATAAAAAAGTGAAACCCAGCTAAGTGATTCTACCTCAAGGTTGGTTTTTAATTAATTTTTTTTTTTAAATAAGCCATTTCTAATTTTTTAATCACACATATCATAGGTTACAAACAGACAACTTTTTAAAATAATCGTAAGACCTGCTATTTTGTAAAATTATCAAAAATTAATATTTTTTTTGTTAATTTAATTTTATATAGGAACCAAGTAAACAATTTGTTTTTGATTCATTTCATAATCAACCAACTTTTAGAATAGCTTTTGCTGTTTGGAATACATATACATAAGTTGTACAGGAATAAAAAACAAGATTTATTTTATTTAGTTGTACATGGGCGCAGATATTTTTAGGAATAAAAACATAGTTTTTTTTGAAATCTTACACCTCCTTTAGAAGTGATATTAGTAGATTGTTCTACTAAGTAAAGAAAAGTGAGAGTTTTTCACGAGCTGGAAAACGAACTTTTCTTACGAGTTGAACATACAATTTCTTTGTATCCTTAATGGAAAACATTTTTTGTATCCTTAATAGAAAACAGCCATTAGCTAGAATTCAATAATGTTTTATTTTACTAATTGGCAACACTTTAATAGTTGCTAACTAATTTAATATATTTATGAGTAATATATTAATTAAATGTGCTATAACTGATGTTTTAAAGCAATAAAATATTTTCTAACGTAAGTGGGATCCTTTTCACAAAAGCAAATTAAAAATTTTGAATCCCAATTTTACGCTATTAATTATTTCAAAGCTGTTTTTACTCGACAAACGACTTTCAATTTTATTATTATTAAAATTTGGGTTATACTAGAACTATTCTTTCATATACTTTATTTATTATTTAATACCATATGTCAGGTCCAACTTATAAAAAAAATATGTATTCCAAACAACAAAAGCTATTCTAAAAGTTGGTTGATTATCAAATTAATCAAAAATAAATTGTTTACTTGGTTCCTTTATAAAATTAAATTAACAAAAAATATATAAATTTTGGATAATTTTACAAAATATGAGATACAAAAATTTGGTCGTACGATTATTTTAAAAATTTGTGTGTTTGTAACCTATGTATGATATTTGTTATTAAAAAATGCAAACATTAGAAATGGCTTATTTCAAAAACTTTTTTCATTTAAAACCAACCGTGTCCTAGTATAAAAGTATAAATTTAAGAATAAGATATATTTTTTTATTGGCCAAAAACAAAAAAATCTTCGGTATTTAAAACGGCAAATGGTATTAAATTTTCTTTATGCATTTATATTTACTTTTTTGTAATAAAATATATCTATCATTATTATATTATATTTTGTTCGAATATTTTGCAAATGAAAACTTAATATCGTGCATGTGTTAAGCAATACCTACTGATTTTTTTGTTTTGGCCAATTACCATATTAATTCAAATCAGTAAAGTACAAATTAATATAAAAACATACCTTGTTTATGCTCCTCAAATTTGACCATTTGTAATATTCGTTTGATGCGGCGTGAATTCATTTTTCTTAAATAAACACAAAACTGCACTATGACTTCCTTAAGTTACACGATTAAACTAGTTACTGTAAAGTGTGGTGTCGTCTATCAAACGACCTTTTATATCCAGATTATCTATTTTGGTATGCAAAATCTATTTTGCATCTTTACCTAAATTACTTTCAAAGTATGCTAATATCTGAAATTTTGCATACAGGCAATAAAAGTATTTTGCTAATGCCAGGAATTTCATATACAGGCAATAAAATCATTTATTTATTTAGTGCAAGGTAATACTTGTGTAATACTTTGTGTTTTTTCCCGCTGGATATTTTTTGGCGTAGTTTAGATAATTTTTTGCGAAACAACTTTGCTAAAAAACATAGTAGCTAAAAACTAATGGTTCAACCATTATTATTGTAAATTTGCCGCTTTTTTGCCGTTAATTAGTTGTGGAAATAAAAAATTTGCCGCTTTATTATTTTTTTATTTTTTAATGTTTCGCTAATTTAACCTTCGTCGTACGGTGCTAAAAAAATACACGGAATACGGTGCGGGGTACATTTGTACCCCGTTTATAAATGTATTTTTTAGCCTTCCTTATGTCACTATTTAAAAAAAAAACATAAATAAAAAGTCAATACAAAACATACAATATTTATTTAAACTCACATTTATCAGAAAATGGTTATAATAAAATTAATAAAAATATAAAAACAAATCAAGTCTATTCTTTAGTATTCTGACATTTTTCACACATAATTTGTTTTTTAGAGTGTAAAACACACAAAACGCATCATACGTTGTTCGTTCTTGGGTTTTTCTTCCCAGGTAAATTTCGCTGAATGATTGGGATTTTATAAAGCAATTTGGGGAGGATTAAGTTTGGGATTTTGACAGTCCAGCGTACATTTTGTCACGTAATTGTAATCAAATTATTTTATATTTTGCCTTAGTTTATGGTAAACGTAATTAAATATATTTATATTTTGCCAGAATTTATTGTGTGCGTTTGTATTTGTGTAGAAGTGATATTGCCGCTACAACACCTTTCCTCTACGACGCAGTAGAGAATACTAATCATATAACAAACACACCCATATATGATACTAATCAAAGATAAATAACTTAGTAATACTACTAATAAGATAAGTTTATATTTGGCACATTTTGGGCCAGGGTGGAAGACCACCCTGTTTTGGGCGATCACGCCACCAGTATGTGAATTGCGCGAACAAAAAATGTGTTTAAAAAGTATAACTCGAAATTCGGTGCGGGGTACAAACGTACACCATGTCGCGTTTTATTTTTTATACAAATTAAAAGATGTATTTTAGTAAATCACTGAAAAATATATTAAGAAGGTGCTAATTGACAATACTTAAATTAAATCGGCAAAGCAAAAAATTTTACGAAAATATTTTGAAAATTGTTAATATAATACCTACATTAATAACAACACTTTTTTCAGTAAATTTTTCAGAAATTTTCCAATATATCTTTAAAATATAAGTATTGGATATTTTACTGAAAAAAGTATTTTGTATTAGCGAAACATTAAAAAATAATAATTAAGCGGCAATTTTTTTATTTTCACAACTAATTAACGGCAAAAAAGCGGCAAATTTACAACCATTAAGTTTTTCGCTACTATGCTTTTTAACAAAGTTACTTCGCTAACTTGATATCAAGTTAGCAAATCATTAATTTTTTAATTAAAAAAAAGAGCGGCAAAAATGGCAAATTACTGATATGTTGTTATTTTCCGAAGTTGTTTTGCTAACTTGACATGGTTGACCATGGGGTAATGTGATTTTTTTAATAAGGGGTCAGGCACCAAGTAAAGTTGTATACTAGATTACTTACTTCATGGTAAATTGTTTTCAATTTTTTTTTCACCTCCACAGACCTATACAGGGTGACATGCTAATATTTCAGAATGTAATTCCTTATGAGGACCTGCAGGTCATTGTATGAAGTAAACTGCATATAAAAGCATGTCCTAACTTGCTTCATTTTCAGCGTTTTAAAGTTTTTAAAAAATCAGTTTTTATTATTGTACACCACTTTTTTTTGAAAATTTTATATCTTCTTTAGATCAAACAATTCAAAATATAATTTTTTTCGCCCCAGAGCGGTAAAACGATTTTTTTCGAATTCAAACCAATATTCGAAAGCTTAGCAAGATTCGAAAAAAACACTATACTATACTATACTATACTATACTATACTATAGCGGCATATGCCATATCACGAAAATGAAGGAATTTAGGACATAAGTTTATGTGAACTTTTTTTCAAGAAATGACCTGAGGAATCACAACCTGAAAGATTAGCATGCCATTAAGGAAATCCTGAAAATGATTTTTTAATGAATTTTAAAGCCATTTCGACAGAGGAAAATTTTATTTTTAGTCAATAATGTAAACTTGATGTTTAAGTTAAATACAACTTTTTAAAGAAGCTATATAAGAATTTTTATATTCTAATATAATTAGTTAATTAATATTCTTATATTTCAATAAAAAAACTTTGATTCACTCTACCTTATAATGGACAGTAGTAGTAGTAATAATATTATAGTTAGTATAGTAATGTAAATATAATACTTTTTCATCAAACGTTAGAGAAAACAAATAAATAAAAATATAAAACACTTTTTACGATTATTAACAATTACGAAAGATTAAATTAAACCTACCGTGGCGGTAGAAATAAATTCAGCGATACGTTGTTCTCTTAAAAAAACTGGCAACGTTGCTGGAAGTCATTTTGCCAAAATATTGCTATATACAGAAGCCAAAGTATCCTATTTAAGAAATATAAATTATACGGAGGTCAGACTGACCGATATATGGGTGGAGGCCACCTTTGCCGCTATTTCTACCCACAATATACACGCTGTATATTGGTGGATGCCAAACGACAATGTTTCTGAACGGAGGTCAATCGTTCCGCTATATAAATATATATATATATATAATGTATTTCAATGTATACACATTTTTGTTGTTGTATAATTTTGTTTTTTGTTACTTAATTTTATATTAGCTTATTCAGGGTTATTTTATAAATTTATTTAAAAAACTGGTTTTGTGAAAAATTGGGGGATTCTTAACTTATATGCATAAACTTTTGAAATTATAGCTGATGACCAATAATGAATAATAATTTAAAACAAAATTTATTAAACATTTCGTCGTTAATTTTACAGTGTCGAATCTCTATCTGTTATAAAATTTGTATATACATTTACCTTAATTATAATCAACAATTATAAGAAACGTCAAAATTACCTCGAAAATTACAATTTGCGTTGTGCCATTTTGACAGAAGTTGGAAATCCTTTTGTTATCAACTTCAAAAATTACCTACAAAATGATACAAATTGTAAATTTGACGTTTAATTCACACAAAATGTTTCGTTTTTTTTTGTACTTTTGTACTAAGTAAAAAACTTAGACTGTGGTGGGGAAGGAATCGTCTACTTTGTCAATGAAATATATTTTATTGTAAAAATGACGTTTATTTTAAATAAACCTCATTTTTGTCTAATTAATATTTCATTGTTTAGCAAGAACCACGTGAAGGTCAACAATATCGGTACAATTCCTCACCGTAATATCCATAATGACTAAATTCACATAAATCACCAAGTTCAATTAACTAAACCCACAGAATAAACCACTTACAAAAGAATCATAAAATAGACAAACTCATAGAAAAAGAATAAACAAAATATTGCGTAAATAACCACAGATTTGTTCTTTAAACAGTTCAGAATTTTATAACCAAAACAAACCTAAAGAAGGAATCTGTATTTATTTTATTGGTTACTGTGATGGCTACAAGATGGCGATAGTGTTAAAATATGTTTATTTTAGAATAGAAATATAATTACGATTAAATCGATTTATTATAAGAAAAATAATACCATTTATTATTGAATTTTGAAAAACGTGTGAAGTGTAATTTATCTAAAATTCCGCAACAGTGTTGCCACAACACCTGCTTATTTTCTTGGATGTAGGCGTGCCTGCCTCGCGTATGCTAATACGAGAGAAGGAGGCAACTATGATATCGCATTGTAATAGAACGACACAACAAGGTTAACGCAAATCGTGAGTCTAAATTAGTTCAGGCATACTTCTGAGCCAATCATCTAGCTATAAATATTAGTTTAAATTGCGGTCGTTTCAAATTCAAATACTTTAAATGTTGCTGGGTATTCCACGTATAAAATCAATCAATTTTATTGACTATTTCACAATTCATGTAATCCAAATATTAAAAATTTATAGTATATTATAGGAAGTAAAATATTTAAATTATACTTAAGTTTTTAATTCTCTATGATGAGGCTCTGCCTCACCTGCCTCCCCTGACGGGCCGCCACTGCTGGTGCCGTTTGGTGGGAGTAAGCCTTGTGCTTAGAATTTGGATGGAATTCCAAAGATGTGTGATAATTCCCTTGATCTAATGGCGCAGTGCCCGATAAAGCAGTAATTGTGTCGTACGAAAACTCAGGGTGAGTTAATAGCTTTTTGAGTTCTCTTTTTTAGGCAGCGATGTATTTTATCCTGCAAAGTTTTGTTGAGCTATTTCCAGCATAGGAAGATTAACTTTTGAAGATTAAAAACCTCTTAGACAAAGGGTAAGTTTTTTCAAGATGCTTAGGCGTCATACTATTTTTGTAGGGTTTTAAGTACAGGCACTACGGATTTTTAGGTGGGAGTTTTTATGTCAGTTTTTTTGTGAAAGAATGTTTTTTTATCCTGCAGGGGTTGTTTTGATAATGGCAAGCTTCTTATGTTCTCAAAAGGCCATTCTGTAAAATCTGACATGAACAGGAAAACAATTTCGTACCAAAGTTGTGTTCTGTTATATTTATTGGAAATGATGTTCACTGCTCTCCGTTAACCATTTATATAATTTTAGTTTAATCAAATTTTAATACAGTCTTCAACTTTAATATTATTGTAATTTAAATTTGTATTTATATCATTGATAATTTTTTTGTCATG